CGATTCCTCTTCGAGATATAGAGTATATAAAAATTCGCCCGCTTTAAATAAGTAGGCTTTGAACGGCACCGGCTGTAATGCAAAAAAATTCTAGCTGTGAGCATCAATTAAAACGAAAATAATATTTGCTATGAGAGATGCAGAATTTTATAACAACTTAAAATATATTTAACCAACATCAACATATTTAAACTATATCTAATAACAATAAAAATAAATAGCAAACCAAGACATGAGATTTTGCTACAGATGTTCGACATATCGACCGTCTTCTGTTATGGACAGACGGGGCAGTTTTTGAACATTTCTCGCGTAATTCATTAACTCAGTGGGGGTGAAAGATACCCTCTCATAACTGCTAAGTATGTCTAATTCTTGTCTAGATTATACGGAAGAATAAGGAACCTTTATTCTTTCGCAAATATATCAATAGGATTAGATCTATGGGCACTAAGTCATGCGGCTCTGACGGCCAACGGCTGGGATCTTGGTTAGCTATTCAAATATTCTTGAAATTGGCTGCAAAATTTGCTAATAACTTCAGCGTTCAGAGCCGGTGCGTCGTCTTGCTGGAAAAATATGTTTTCGAGTTCCATTAGAGGTATATCATCAATAAGGGGTCCAAAGCCTACTAGTTAAAAGTGGCGAACTTTTAAAAATTCTGTATTTCGAAGGGGATTATAGCAAAATATCAAGTGTGCTATATTTTTGGAAAGGTAATTTTAAATTCTTTTCAGTTAATTAAAAATATAGAAGGTGTCCCAAATAAAAAATCAATTTTTCTGTTGATAACTCTTAAATTATTAATTTTAAAAAAAATTATACTTAAACCATTAAATTCTAGGTAAAAAGGTGCTTTGGAAATGTTTTCATAGAAATACAAAATTTTCCATAGCAAAAAGTTACAGCGATTTGTTAAAATGCACAGTTTTGAAAACACCCGATAACTCCCCAAACGGTAACAGATATTGATGTACGGTTTTCACCATCATGTTTTTGATGAAAATTGAGCTCCAGACACCGATATTAGTTTTCGTCTATCTCCTATAGAAAAGGATGTTTCCGTTTAAAAGCGTCGAATTTGACCCACCCTGTACATGTTTTTTTTCATATTAAAGAGGTCAAATTTATTTTAAATGTTGAAAAAATAAAAGAGACAGTTGTTTCATTTTATAAATACAATTCTATTGTCAATTGATATATAGTGTGTCCACGAAATAAGTTGGCACGAAGAGGAAAAAATAAGTTACTTTTATTTTAAGACAAAAAGTCAATCTTTAACCACCCGGTATAAAATCTGGCGGCAATTCGCGGCAGCCAGTGGCAATTAATTTATATGCAATATACTTTAAGCAACAAGTATTTTCATGCCGTTTAAGAGGATTTGAAAGGGAAAGTAGTTAAAAGTCTTAAAGAGTGACAAGCAAAAATGTAAAAATACTATTTTTGTTACCTTCAAATAAATTGTCATAAACTAATATTACTTATGTTTAATTAAGTGCAAAAACGAAAAAACAGTTCTTTCTACCTTATTTTCGAACGTCCATTACAGAAAAGGCAAAAGCTTTTATCAATTTTAATAAAATAAGTAATTAATTGGCGTTATCTGAAAACTGTTTATGTCAGCTTGATACCAGTAGCAAAAATGTGACATTTCTAATAAAAAAAGCGCTACACTAGGCTCACTTGATTTTGTTATTTATTATGTATCGTTTACAGGGGAATATAAGAAAAGTGTTAGCAACAGTTTCATGCAAACATTTTGAAAGTAATATTTCTAAGTAATGACCTATCTGGGAACCACTGTGCTATGTAGTATATTATTTAAAAAATCGAAACCCAAATAAAATTGCTTCTTATATTATTTATTTGGGTTTCTTTCTTGCTAAGTCTGATGATGTTCATATGTGCAAAACACGTGCCACAATTTAAATTTTTATAATAAATGTCGAAACCGAGACTTCTTTTGAGTCATTTTTGTTTCTTTTGGAACTATAGCTCAGGAAATTTTTTGGCAGTTTGTTGATTAAAATTGGAGCAATTTTTGATAATAGAATGGTATGCTACTATAAGTTTACATTAACTTATAGTATTATTGACCATTTTTTTCTCACAACTTTTGCCGGAATGAAAGATTTTGTACATTATATTTTGTGTGTGAGGAATTATTTTTTAAAAAATGTTTTCATTTTCTTTTGATGATTCAGCAATAATGTAACCGAAACGGAAGCACACTGT